CCTCTGACCTCTTCTTTAACCAAAGAACTGCTGCTCACTGAATATTTTATGGTACTTTTTTGTACTATAAATTTCTTTGGGAAAATCCCAGCAGACTAATAGTTTCTGAAATACTCAGACTACCCTGTCTGGCAGAACCATCCATGTCTTGGCCAAAGTCACTTAAATCCCCTTTCTTCTACATTCTGATGCTTGGTTTGAACTTCAGCAGATCGTCTTGACCATGTCTACATGTCTAAATCCACTAAGTTGCTACCATGTGATTGACTGATCAGATATTTGATTTAATGAAAAGTTGAACAAGTGCACCTAGCAAAGTGGGACTTAGTCATAGGTGTAAGCATCACAGCAGTACCTGAGGATTGAATACGGAGAAGAATAACTTTCTTTTTTTTGTCTTTTACAGCACATAACCCCTTTTAAAATATGCTGCAGTAGTCTGAAAACTGATGAAAACCATGAATCAACATATGGGTATTACCTGTGGAAAGACTGATGTTGCAGAAGTGAAACAGAGCAAGCAGAGGTTTCATTAGAGGCATAGCTAAGTATTTTGCAGTTTGGTACAATTTGCACACTGTGGGTGCACCGTCACTCCCACCTCGTGCTGTCAGGGTTGGGAGTGATGGGGATGACAGCTCAGTGGCATCGTCTTGTCACTGAATCCTTCCACTGGGTCAAGAGGACATGCCAGAACAGAGCTGGCCTTCTTGTTCTTGATCAGCCTGTTCAGTTTCTCCCTTACCCAGTGGAGATACTGCTGCCCCAGCAGAGAACACCATAAAAGATTACTGATGCTCACTGATGAGTCTGGCTGGAGTCCAGTTGTTCCAGTTGTTGGAGTCCTGAGGCCCCAGTCTCCAAGCTGTCGCTGATGACTACCAAGGTAAAATTTACGGGGTCTGGCAATACGTTATTTGCTCGGGGCAACCCAGTCACAACTTGGGCATGTACATGTGGTGACCCACAGTTGGGAGCATTTAAAAACAGTTTTTTCATCCAAATCCCAAAAGGTTGATTCTGTTAATCTGGATGTAACATTTTCAGTGGATGAAATGTTTCATCACTCACCCAAGTGACTTCCTCAGTCTCAGCTGACTGCAGGTTCCCCCAACCTTATAAACATTACATTGCAATAGTAAAATGCATTGTTTATACAATTAAAGAAATTGTTACAACAGTAGGAGTGGGAAAATCTGAATTTTGGTACATGCTGAGAAAGAAAGAAAGCACTGGTGAATTCAGTAATGCAAAAAGACTTGGACGTCCACGGAACACAGTTGTGGTGGATCAAGCCATAAAATCCCTAAACCCTAAAAGCCATAAAAATGAACAATACTTTCTGGGAGGTAAGCATATCAACATCCATATCTACCATAAAGAGAAGATTGCATTAAAGTAAATACAGAGGATTCACTGCAAAGGGGAAGCCACTCATATGCCTCAAGAATAGAAAGGCTAGATTGGACTTTGCTAGAAACATCTAATAAAGCCAGCACAGTACTGGAAAAACATTCTTTGTACAGATGAAACCAAGATCAACCTCGACCAGAATGATGGCAAGAAAAAAGTATGGAGAAGGTGTGGAACAGCTCACGATCCAAATCACATCATCTGTAAAACAGTGTGATGGTTTGGGGTGTATGGCTGCCAGTGGCACTGGGACACTAGTGTTTATTGATGATGTGACACAGGACAGAAGCAGCCGAATGAAGTCTGAGGTGTTCAGACATACTGTCTGCTCAAATCCAGCTACGTGCAGATGAACTGATGGGAGTCGTTTCAGGACATTATGTCACCGGGTTGGTTGGTTGCGGCTAATAAACTTACTGTTAGGTATTTTAGTACCATGGGAGCATTTACTGGATATTGTTTTATAGTGACATTATACAGGAAAACTCTGTCATTCAATAAGGCCCCTTTGTTTTAGTTATTTTTCTCTTTGACCCAAGAATTGATGTGTGAGAATCACAGGCTGGTACAAGGTTGAAATACCACAGAGATCACTCCCTCAGCTACATTAGTTTCTTAATCTTTTAGACGCCTGTTGAGGCCAAATGGTTTGTTTCAGATTTCACTAATGTAAGAACTCTTTATTTCGTGCCTTGAAAATATGTCGCTGAGATAATCACAATTGTAGCTGAACTGATACACTACACAAAGGATGCTTCTTCACCCAAGGGCAGGAAGACGCTCCCTTATCTTGGTCTGTACTGGTTTAAACTGATAAATCTGCTGTCTCATGAATTTTACCCTCTATATAAACTGTTGTACTTGAGAATAAAGTTGAGTCGATTTGGGAAGACAACCTGAAGCAGTCTCTGTTTTCTTGTTCTCCCAAGCTGCTCCCGAGCTCGTACTAACACGCTGAATGGCATGCTTGAATGTTACTTGAGAATATATTTGACTGTGTTACAGATTAAGGGACATTCTCTGCTGATAGGTGAAGGGACAATCTCTGCTGATAGACGCCCACGCCTCGGAGAAAGCCGATCCACGGATTAGGCCCTGGAAGCCGTTTCCTTCACTTACATTAGTTAACATCACTTTAAGGGGATTACATTTGTGCTGCCCCACTTGCTGCAACAATGAGTTTTATGTTAAGACACTGAGGATATACTTCCACCTTCACTGTCTGTCTCTTTGGCAGTAATTGACTCGTCCTATTTGGCTAGCAGCACTGAAACTCCAGTTGTTAGCTGTAATGTCCAGCTTTGTAAAGCACTTTATAAATGAGGACAGTGTGGAGGAGAGCCCGTTTGAGTCACCAGACCGACAAGCTGCAGTCCGACACTCCAGCTTTGCCTCGCCAGGCCGGGTGTACTGTGTGCCCTTGCTGAAAACACTTTGAAATTTATTAATAAACTTCTGACGACAGATTCAGATTTGACTTCAAAACTGCTTGTCCTGTCTTTAAAGCTTGTGCCTTCAGCAATTTCATCACAAATGCTATTTTTGAACAGTCTGAAGAAAATATCTGGCTCTGCTGGCGAAACACTAGAGAGCATTAGGTAAGAAAGCCACAACTTTTTTCTCCCAGCTTACTCCAGAATTCCTCTCTCTCTTCGGACATCCAACCTTTGGGCATATGCACTGACAAGAACATAATAATAATGTTACCTTGTAATCTTGTAATAAATATTACAAATTAAACATTAGTCTTCTTAAGTCTTTGGACTGAGATGATCCCTTTTTCATTAGTGTACATCTTTCACTTTAGATTCTGTCAAAACTGTGTTTTCTAAGACTGGATGAGGCCATTTCTTCTTTTTTTGTGTTTGGCCATTGGGTAACTTCATCTTTCTCCAGCAGTGGTCAACCTCACACTTTCCACATATTTATAGTCTTGACACTATTACAGTCTTTTTTAATAATTTTTAATGTACATCATTTGGATACTTTAAATCCTATCGCTAACTATGCACTCTGAAAAGAAAAAGCTGTAAACTGGCTTATAAAAATCTATAGGTTTTAAGATAAGATAAGATAAGATAGAACTTTATTAATCCCTCGGGTGGGTTCCTCTGGGAAATTCGACTTCCAAAAAGCACAGCAACGACCGAAGTTACAGTTACAGAATGTTATATATATATATATATATACACACACACACACACACATATAAATACAGAGACAAATATAAATAAAATATACAAAGGGGATAAATAGAATAAATAGGAATAAAAATAAAAATACAAGTGAATTGCACATTTCAAGTATTGAGTCTATTGCACTGTTGACTATTTACAAAAGTATTGCACAAGGTATCTTACAGTGAGGTGAAGAGGCACTACAGCTTAGTTGTTCCCCCCTCCTTTGTCCTCCTGTTTCCCCTCCCTCTCCCCTCCAGAGAGGAGTTAAACAGTCTGATGGCGTGTGGGACAAAGGAGTTTTTAAGTCTGTTAGTTCTTGTCTTTGGGAGAAGCAACCTGTCACTGAACAGACTCTTCTGATTGTTTATGGCCGTGTGCAGAGGATGCCCAGCATTGTTCATAATGTCCAGCAGTTTCTTTAATGTCCTTTTCTCTGCCACTGTCACCAGAGTGTCCAGCTTCATGCCGACCACAGAGCTAGCCCTCCTGATCAGTTCTCCAGCCTGGATGAGTCCTTCTTTGCTGTGCTGCTCCCCCAGCACACCACAGCATAGAAAAGTACTCCAGCAACCACCGACTGGTAAAACATCCTCAGGAGCTTCCTGCAGATGTTAAAAGACCTCAGCCTCCTGAGGAAGTACAGTCGGCTTTGGGCTTTTTTATACAGGTGCTCTGTGTTGCATGACCAGTCCAGTTTATTGTCCACCCACAGCCCGAGGTACTTGTACTTGTTGACCACCTCCACCTCCTCCCCCTCTATCTGAACTGGCAGTGGACCTTCTCTGGACCTCCCGAAGTCCACAACCAGTTCCTTAGTCTTTGAGGTGTTGAGTTGCAGGTGGTTTGTGTGACTCCATGCGACAAAGTTCCTCACCAGACTTCTGTACTCCTCTTCCTGATCATCCCAGATACACCCCATGATGGCCGTGTCATCTGCAAACTTCTGAATGTGGCATAATTCAGAGTTGTAGCAGAAGTCAGAGGTGTACAGGGTGAAGAGAAGAGGGGACAGCACAGTTCCCTGTGGTGCTCCTGTGCTGCTGACCACAGTGTCAGACGTGATGTCCTTCAGCCTGACGTACTGTGGGTTTTCTGGTGTTGGCTGGCAGTAGTAATGGAATAGGTGACAAAACACCCAGTCACCCACTTTTCAGTTATTTATTTGTAAAAAATGTTTGGAATCATGTAAGATTTTCGTTCCACTTCTCACGTGTACACCACTTTGTGTTGGTCTTTCACGTGGTCTTTCAATAAAATTGATTCATGTTTGTAGCTGTAATGTGACAAAATGTGGGAAAGTTCAAGGGGGCCGAATACTTTTGCAAGCCACCTTATGTTGTCACAGAGTTTTCGACATATAAAAGGAAGAACAAGGTGTTTTTTTTTCAAATGGTGCAACAGCGGCAGCACACTCTAACACATGCTCAGTTACTCTCAAAAGAATAGTCAGGCAGGAGCTACTGTTTGACCAGCGGATCAGCCAACATGCCAGTGGAACTGAAAGGGAACATTTTAGTGACAGGGGCCAACAGAGGCCTTGGTTTGGAGCTGGTGAAACAGCTGGCAGAGACGACAGGACAAGAGGCTCACATCTATGCCTGCTCCAGAGAGCCTGAAGGAAGCAGAACTGAGGTGAGACTGTTACACATAAATGCTTCTTGTGGTTCTCACATCAACTGCTAGAGCAACCCTCACATGCACACATGTGAAGGTTGACTGTGTATCATCTGTTCATTTCACTTATTTTACTTATATAGTGCCAAATCACAACAACACAACTTTGTATTGTAAATAAATTGTTATGTTGTTATTGTCAGCATCTGCAGATAACTTTATCATAACATCATCTTGTAATTATGAGAATACAACATAAAAAAAGTCATGAAAGTATGAAGAGGGGTCCATTTTCATTTTACAAGGCCTAAGCTAACCTAATAGTCTAAAACTAGTCAACAAATTTGGTATAAACATCTTTCATTTGGTTTCAAAGTGTGACGGTGTAGCACGGCTAACTCTACGGGGGTCTGGCTGCAAAACTTCTCTCGCAGGCTCCATTTTCAGCACAGAAGCAAAAGATGTAGCAAAGCTGTTGAAGGCAACTTGATATGTCAGTTTTGATCACTACGAAACAGTGAAAAGTGTATATAAGGTCTGCAACAAATCGGTGTGCATTAGTTGTGTTCTCAATTTAAGTGTTGCTGCATTCTCCGGGTTGTTCATTTATTTCCCTTCAGTCACAGATTGTTGGACAATACATTTGCTATTGACAGTTAACATCTTAACTGTACATACACGTTCTCCTTACACTGTTGCTTTGGAATCTGGAATTCCTGAGGACAAGCCTTAGATTTGTATGCACATCAATCATTTCTGTTGTGAGTCACTGGCTATAGACGTGATTTCATGGAATAACAACATAAATATTTATATATATTCTTTCTGTTCCCTTCAGGCACTGAGACAGTTAACCACCCGACATCCTGGAAAGATCACTATAATCAAGCTAGGTAAAAACAATCCGCCTTCATTTAACTCTGCATACACTTCCAACACTATTTCCAAATGTGTGCTGAAACATTTCCAATTATGACACTAAAACACTGGAGGCTCACAGACAGTGAATTCTGGAAGTGTTGCTGAGTCTATGCACTGATTTCTTACTTACAACTTAGTTATTAAAATCTGAGAACCTTCCCACTACGGGTGCACTCAGGTTTTTGATAGTGCCTTACTTTAATCTCATCAGGCCTCTCACATAATAATGGAAGTGTTGAAATATTCACTTGAGAATCTGAGATTCAAAGGCAAATACATACATAGAAATGAAACCTTTTTTTTAAACTCATAATCTTCCACAGTTTTTTTTTGACATTCAAAAGACCTTGGTCATTATGATTTGTATTTCTATACATCTACCTGTAGATGTTGCAGATGAGGAAAGTATCTCAGCTGCTGTGCAGGCTGTGCAAGATCAGATCGGGGATGCTGGGTTGAATATCCTTATCAACAATGCTGGTATTAGGAAACCGGCCTTGTCAGGAGCATTATCTGCTACCAAGAAAAACGACATGATGGAGGTGTATGAAACCAATGTGGTTGGACCATTTACCATTGCAAAGGTTGGTTTGTTCTCTGCAGACGTGGGAAGTACAAATACTTTGTTACGCAAGTAGAATTTTCAGGTATTTGTGCTTTGAGTATTTCATGTTCTGAGAACATTGTACTTTCACTTCCCAGATTTTTACCCAAACACCTCTACTTTTTACTCCTTACATTACATTTTTGAAACAGACTCATTTCTTAGGTTTAACATATTTGATGGGAGTTTCACATTTTTATTTCACATCTTTCATTTTATTTTATTTTTTAAATGTGCTATAATTTCACACATGTAAACTGTAAGTTTTGTACTTTCAGATGTTTCTTCCACTCCTGAAAAAAGCAGCACAGAGGGATTCTTCTGCAAAGGGCAATGGTATGTATCTGTTCTTTCATGTTATGTTGAATGTAGGATACCATCATTGGGAAAACACTCAGTGGAGTGAGTACATACTTATGGTTTCATGCTCCATCTCACTGCAACTGTGACTAGGTTATTTGGTCAGAAGGTCAGTGATTTGATCCCCATAACTTTGAATTATAAGCAGGCAAAATAATTAAGCCCAAATGTCCTGTGTGCATGACAAGCAAAATTCAAAGGCACGAAATAATGTGTTGTAAATGTGTGAGTGGTACCCCGGCTTGGCAGTACAGGGGTCCATTTGAGCTTTCATATTAAAGTAATGGGATTAGCTTGCCTGATAAGAGTTAATATGAGATTATATCCAATTTACAAAAAGCTGAGTTGAAGATTTGCCTAGCTGCAAGTTATCCACCTCCTAAAGCCAGTTCAATTCAATTCAATTGCCAAATCACAACAATGGTTGCCTCAAGACACTTTATATTGTAAAGTAAGGACCCTACAGTAATACATAGAGAATCCCAACAATCAGACAACCTCTATGAGCAAGCGCTTGCCAACAGTGGGAAGGAAAAACTCCCTTTTCACAGGAAGAAACCTCCAACAGAGCCAGGGTCAGGGAGCAGCGGCCAACCAATTGCTGCAACTGGTTGGAGATGAGTGAAGGAAGACACGACAAAGACACCTTGTAGAAGAGAGACAGAGTAACGTTTAAATGGCGATTATTTTGTACCGGAATGGAAAAGTAAAGTGTGGAGGAGAGAAACAGCTCATGATCGGCATGGACACGTATGGCTGCCAATGGAAGTGGGTCACTGGTGTTTATTAATTATCTGACTGCTGATAGAAGCAGCAGGATGAACTGAGAGTACAGGGCTGCACTCTGCTCACATTCAGACTAATGCTGCAACAATGAGCAGACGGAGCTTCATAGTGCGATCCAAAAACCCAAGATTTGCTCAAAGCAAAGAAATTAAATATTCTTCAATTGTCAATGAATGAAAGACATTAATACAACCGTTATATCCATCCATCAAGCCACTCCGGATCTTCTGGGGGCACACACAGTTTGTCAGCAGAGAGGTGTAATCTTGCCAGATCCTTTCCTGAATAGGACTAGAAAATACGACAGAATATGCAGAATTCTAGACAGTTATACTTAAAGAAGAGTGGAGCGTTTTCTCTGCATTAATACATTTACAAAAGTAAATAGATTTGAATTCTTTCGCAGGTGGATTGCATCACAGAACGTGTTGGTTGGTGCAGGTTCAGAGATGCAAACTATCCTCACACACACAGTTCTTTTCGTTTCCCAGTCATGATGCTAATCTGTTTGTCCCACTTTGTCTTAGATAATAAAACTGCCTGCAGCTCAGCCATCATCAACATCTCCACAGCTATTTCATCCATAGAGAAATGTCCAGAGACCTTCTCAGCAGCACAGATGTATCCTTATAGAATAAGCAAGGTACTGTTAAAAAGAATCAAATATCCTGACTTTCTTCCTAAACTTGTTTATTCTGTCTGTGCTTATCTTTTAGAGTTTTTCTTTACTAACATTTTAATAAGTAACTGTGATTCAATGACATAGACCAGATTCAGTGAAAGGAGCTTGACACGCAGTAATTAAAGCATCATGTGGTTCAGTTGTTTGGCTTTAGACACCTGTATTGATTAATAATTAATAATAATTTCAATAAGTGTAATACTTATATGTTTGTATTACGCTTAACAATAAAGAAATGTGCTGTTTCTCCTGTCATCAGGCAGCACTGAACATGCTGACTCGCTGTCAAGCCGAAGACTTCAAGACTCACAATATAGTGGTGACAGCCATACACCCAGGCTGGGTCCAAACTGAGATGGGAGGAGAAAAGGTGACGTGATGAAAACTTTAAAATACTTTATTCAGTGAATACATTTAAACATTATGGTTTTCCTTTAAACAGCTTTCATATGAAACAATCACATTTGCTGAAACCCACCAAATCTCTGTTACAGATTCCAGAAAGTTCTTTTAGGTCAAACAAGTACTGTGCTTATGTAAAACCTTATATCGTTGTACGTTTCACTAGACAAGCGTAATGTAAGTCCTAGCATTACATCACTGCTTGTACTAGCTCTGAGATTTATACATTTGGATGCATTATTGTAAGTTCAGGGTAAGTAAGAGCAGCTTAGTAATAAAAAGACAAACACAGCATGAAACACTCACCGATTCTGTTTTCTGATTTATTTTTGATAATCCAATTACATTTTACATAATATCAATGTTGATATGAGATGAAAGTGCTAACAACCACACCACGACCATCCTTTTCTCCAATAATGATCATTTTAAATCTCTAATCTTGAAACTGCAAACAAAAATAAACTTCATTTTTAGCGTTTAGCTTGTTAGCCTTCCCCATATTAGAAATCATAAAGCTTGTTCTGATCCAGCCGCTTCCTTTCCAGTGACTTTCTTCTTTTGTGTGTCTGTTGTCTCCCACAGGCTCCTTTGACCACCGTGGACAGCGTACTTGGCATGCTTAGTGTGATATCGTCACTTAGCAACAAAGACAGCGGGATGCTTCTGGACTGGCAGGGCAACACCATCCCCTGGTAGCCGTCATGTCAAAACCAGGCTAATAGACAATGTTTTCAGGTTAAAATTCAAATGAGAAAAAACATACACGAATATAAACATAATAAAGCATTGAGGAGGAGATTTTTTTAATTAATTTTATTCTTTTCTTTTTTTTTAACATGTACTAGAAGCTTTCTGCAAACTGAACTGCTGGCCACGGTTCACCAGAGAGGAAATGAAATGACTTCACGATCTATAATCTGGCCATGCTTAGAAATTTGTCTGTTTTCATTGCAGGGAGACAATAATTTCCTACAGTGGAATAAAATTTAATCTGAAATTTCAGACAGTATTATATGTAAAGATTCATTAATCATATTAACATCTCTATAAGCATTTCAGCCAGTAAGCAGAGTTTATAGTTTGGAGGTGGCATAGAAATGATGGTATACAGAGAAAATTAGCACTGGAATGAACAACATTTGAACTTCAGATGGTTGTTAAGGCGTCTGTGTTGTCTTTCACAAAGGCTGTGGCTTCCAAATGCTCTGTAGTAACAGATATTATTATAAACATGAGTGCTAACAGCTGGGGAAATAATTTTACTCTACATGTTTGCTTCTGTAATAAAGTGATAAACCGGTTTTGTTCCCAACCTGTCACATTCCCATTAGTCTTTCCTCAATGTCATAAAAATATAACGAGACAGTTTTCCTTTAACCTTAAAAAAAAAAAAAGAAGATCTACTAATTTTCTCTTGCCGAGAGAGAAATCTGATAGCTGACCACGTGTAGCAGACTGAGACCTTTGACGTTTATACATAGAACTGAGATCATCTTTGGTTATTAGGAAATTATGGCAAAACAGATACCTGTGCAAACTGCCTGCATTTTCTCAGGTAATTCCAGTAGTGAGTCTGACACTACGTATCATTTTCAACTATTTAATAATAAAAAATACACAATATGACGAGATCAGAGAAAAGGAAATGCAGGTTTAATTGCATTTGCTGTCTTTAAACTCTCATTCCTTTTGACTTTTACATGCCTATTAAAAAATACATACAGTTTTCAAAAATAAAATAAAATTAAAATAAACATCTTAGATGGCGTGGAAATAATCGCATCTGCAGTCCCGCACCTGCACGGCTATGTCGGCATGTTTTGGCAGCAGCGTTGTGTGCTCGGGGGGAACCGGATGCAGAGTGGACAACTCAGCAAGCCTCAGACGGCTCAGACACACACGGCGTGCTCCTGTGTGGGGTTTGGAAAGTTTGCCTGTATTGGGGATGGAAAAGCATTCCGACATTCGACAACACAGAGTCATACATATCATCTGCAATTTACACATCCATAACAATAATTATATTAGGATCGAGAATCAGAGCCATATTACATTTTAATTATACGGTATAGCAATATGACAGTTACTGATGTTCTGTCTAAAAACTACAGTTATGTTCCCATCTTTTCTTACGTGTATGCACTGCAAGTGCTATAGTCTTCTTTTTTCTGATTTTCTGAATACATAGGTAACTTAAATATTTACACTGATTATTTTACAGCCTATGGCCCAGCCCACTGACGAGAAAATGTTTTTTTTTTTTTTGTCTAGAATAAAAAGTGCAGAGTGGAAATGGGATGAAATGGTCCCAGTGAAAGGCAGCACAGGGAGGAAGCGAAAGATGGGAGTAAAATTGGTGCTCCCGGTCCGAAACAGGGTCCCAGACCCCAAGGACAGGATCACTCAGGATTTCCATGCATGCCAGGACTGTAAGAGATAGCAAGCCTCATCCTGTAGAGGCACACGGGACTCCTCACACACCTGAAGGGTGTTCAGGGTTTTGTGCAGCACTTTGTGATCCAGCAAACTCCAGGTTCTCCTAGTTAGTGCTGTATGGGGTACAGAGGGTTGTCTGCCCAGTGTTACTGCGAAGATTCACTGCTCCGAGGTTCTGGAATATTTCAGTCACTGTTTGGTTTGTTTTCCTCCTCCCCCTCTGCCTCTACATCACTAAGAGCTGTCCCAGAACCATCCTTAAATGCTGAGTACACCCTGCAAGCTCCCTCACCTTCTCTGTCATCTCTCTGGAGGCTCCAGGGGAAGGATACTGAAGTGCTGCTGTCTTCGTACTGATCACAATGTCTTTGAGTTTTTCACAGAGGCTGTTGCTGCTTTGGGCTACCCGTGCCCTCACTTCTGGAGATTTGGCCTGGCGTGACAGCGTGTCACCAATGAAGACCAGCTTGTGTGCGCTGAGAATGACAAACTTGCTGTGTGCCACAAATATCTTTGGTGGCTGGTTGGAGTTGACAGCAGTAAAAAAGGCATCGATGGCATTTGTCACCGTGGTGACGTTCTGCTCGCATTGCTCTTGATAGAAGAGAATAAGCTGACGGTCACCGTGGCACAACTTGGAGGAGGCGGGGCCTCCAGAGCCGTTCTGGGCCAGGTAGTTTGCCAGAGAGTTGTGTACGGATGGAACCCAACCGGTCATGTCGTTGTTGATTGGCCGGCTGACCTCCTGCTCCAAACGCTCAAACTGTTTAATCTGGAAGATGATAAAGAATGAAGACACAGTTAATAACTAGAATCTGCAATGACAAGTTAGAATTTCTTTCCGTTGTTTTAAATTGTCCAACAAAAGTCCTCTCTGAGATTTGTGCCTGTTCTGTTCATACTGACCTACTAAATACTAAAGCTCTGGGTTGAACAAAACACTAAGCCACCAAACTCTGACAGATTTTACTTTCTAGAAAAGCTGCCACTAAAAACTCGTACTGTTTTCTATTTCAGCAAGCAACAGCTAAAAGTGAAAAATCACATGTTGGCCAACGCTGCTGGCTGCTGGAGCAGCAAGCAGTCCTGCTCAGTTAGGGCCTTTCTGTGTGACATTTGCTCTGCATTTTCACGGCCCTCCATAACTCTGGCTTACAAATCAGGGAGGTTAGATTAACTGATGAGTCTAAATTGCAGGCAGAGAGTGCACAGAGTATAATAAATAATGAATAATTAAATGAATGCAGGCTGTAGTGTAAACAATTTGGAGCAATGGCGTTTGCTCTGAAATCTGGGTTGTGTTCGAAGCTTGTGTATGAAGCGCCTTGAGGCGACTTTTGTTGTGATTTGGCGCTATATAAATAAAATTGAATTGAATTGTCGGTTTCCTTTGTTCATTGTTGCCATGTGAAAGTTCGCACTCCCACCTCCAGTGGGTCGCTTGTAGTGATGAATCCAAATCCAAATCAAAAGAATTTCATACACAGTTCAAAGCTTTGTAACAAATGTACAGTGTGTGTGTGTGTGTGTGTGTGTGAGCTGGTGTTGGAGGTCATTTGTCCCTCAGTTATTAAGAACCACTGAAGCAGTTTATTTGTTTACTGTTATTTGGTCTGACTTTGTCAAAGAAATGTAAGAACCAGTAAGGCACAGTGAAGGTAGAGGTGTAGCGTAGGAGACAGGAGGCAGCTCGCGAGGAGAAGCAGATGGTCCACCGAAGCTCGGTGTTTTGATCCTCAGCTCCTCCGGTGTCCTCACACTGAGGTGTCCTACAGACACGTACCTGCTGCTGCTCCAGCTGTGTCTTATTGTTTCGGATAATGTTGCCTTTCTCCAGCAGCTGTCGTTGGTTCTTCTCAAACTCTTCCTTTCCCTGACAGATCAGCATATAGACACACAGTTAGTACACTACATGTACACCCACCCATAGAGACACACACACCACTCAATCTAAAACACGTCTTTGTTGGTGACAAACAGGAAGTGATCGATCAGTGCTGGAGCACCATTTTCCCTCTTATATTTTTCTTAGTCTTGCTAAAATACTTGTCAGAGACTTCTTTGATTAGAAAACGTGTAGTACAGTCTTACAGCCTCACTTGTAATGTTTTCACTGTTTAATGAGCATTTGGTATTTTTTCCGGAAGTGTTGTGTCAAACAATGTGACATAGTAAACACAGTAAAGAATAATTCTTAAGTCATGGCTGTGTAAGTGGTCAGAACCAAAGTGTGATCAATTCAATTCAGTTTTATTTATACAGCACCAAATCACATCTGTTGCCTCTACCCACTTTATATTGTAAGGTAAAGACCGTACAGTAATACATAGAGAATCCCAACAATCAGTCAACCCCCTGTGAGCAAACACTTGGTGAAAGTGGGAAGGAAAAACTCCCTACTAACAGGAAGAAACCTCCAGCAGAACTGGGCTCAGGGAGAGGTAGGAATCTGCCATGAGCCCAGTTCTCTCTCTGGTGGAGAGACAGTGCTAACGACTGCACCACTGTGACACCCATAAACCACAGAGCGTTTTAGGAAATGGAGAGCAGCTGCTCACAGAAAACTCAGATTCATTCACACGCTTGTACCAGTTAAAGCTGCAATTACAGAGGAGACTTTTTTTACGCAGAGCCGTGATTTGACACTTCGTTTCTGCAGGGAAACACTCATGACGCATAGCAAGGCTTCATGTGATGGTCTTGGACATGCAGGGGGTTTTAGGAATTAAGTGCAGCAAACATTAAGTCCCTGTAGTCAAACAGACAAGTTTAAAGACCAAACAATGATTGAAACCATTATGGCCGAGTGACTGGACCTGACGACTACTGAAACAGTAAGTCTCTTGGGACACTCAAGCCAGCAGTAGTGAGTAGCTGCTGTAGAAGCAGGAAAAATGGTGAACTGATATGATTCTGCTTATGTTATTTATATACGTAGGCTGTCTCTCTCTACCACCAGCCTCCTATAACTGAATCACTAGCAGATGCTTCAGATGTGTGGAGCTTTGGGAGCTCTGGTACAATCAGTGCCAAATCTGAGCGGATTTTCTAAATGTGCTAATGTAAACATACAGTCACACTGCCAAGCTAATATGTGATTCCTGTTATTGTAAAGGGCTCAAATCTGTGTCTGTGTGTACCTGCAGATGTACGTAGTCATAGTCCTCCATCCATCCTTCCTCTGTGGTCTCATATGGTCTCTCCACACCTTCCTCTTCTTCTGCAGCAGTAAACTTTGGTGGGGAGGGAAGGGGCCGTGACTGAATGTTCACTTTCT